GCTTTAGGGATGTGGTCTGCTTCCAGTATATAAGAAGTAACTTTGAGGAAGGTCTCTAGCTTTTTGGCATGCTTGAACCTTGCATGTAGTCGGAATTTTTTCTGGACTTGAATTATTAGCCTGCTGTGTTTGGTAATATTGGGATTGTACCTTTTTACTTGTCAACCTTGGGTTTGTCAGCGTCAGCAGTCAGCAACTGCCTGAGTGAAAAAAAGCCTCCAGCTTCAGTGTGCCAGGAGCAGGAGGGAGAGCTGAAACTCAAGGTTGAGGGGCTTTCACTGAGCCCCTAGAACCTGGCATGATGAACTTGGTATTCCAGCCTCCAGAATTGTAAGAGAATAAACTCCTGTTTGTTAAAGCCATCCCATCCATGGTATTTCTGTCAGAGTGGCACCAGATAACCAAAACAAAGACTTAACACACTTACTGCTGATGATAGAAGACTACAGCCTATGGATTACACCTCAGCATAAAGAAAACAAAAATCCTTACAACTGGACCAGTAAGCAACATCATGATAAATGGAGAAAAGAATAAAGTATTTCATTTTACTTAGATCCACAACTAATGACCCTACAAGCAGCAGTCAAGAAATCAAATGACATTGCATTGGCTAAATTTGCTACAAAAGACCTCTTTAAGTGTTTAAAAATGAAGATATCACTTTTAGGAATCAGGTAAGCCTAACCTAAGCCAGGGTACTTTCAATTGCTTCATACGCATGTGAAAGCTACACAATGAATAAAGAAAACCAAAGAAGAACTGACACATTTGAATTATGGTGTTGGCAAAGAAGATTGAATATACCATGGACTACAGAAGAATGAAAAATCTGTCTTGGAAGAAGTACAGACAAAATGCTTCTTAGAAATGAGGATGGTAAGATGCTATCTTGTGTACTTTGGTCATGTTATCAGAAAGAACCAGTCCCTGCTTGGTAAAGTAGAGGGTCAGTGAAAAAGAGGAAGACCCTTAATGAGATGGATTGACACAGTGGATGAAACAATGGGCTCCAGCATAGCAATGATTGTGAGATTGGTGCAGGATCAGGCAGTATTTCTTCCTGTTGTACATATGGTCACTAGGAGTCAGAAATGACTTGACCGTATCTAACAACCTAACAACAGCAACATTGTTGTTATGTGCCGTCAAGTCATCTCCAACTCATAGAAACCCTATGTACAATAAAATGAACACAGCCCTGTCCTGTGCCAGCCTCACAATCCCTACTATACAACAACAAGAGCTCTTAATTTATCAGGTAAGGTAATTAATCTTACAAGCTATAAAGGATTTCTATATGGTTAACACAAATCAGTGTCCTATACTTAACTTCCACTTTCTTTTCATGTTGTTGTTGTTGTTGTTATGTGCGTGGAGTCGTCACATATATTTCTATATTACTTTCTTTAATCAGGAGCTTTGGTGGCACAGTGCCTAAAGCATTTGACTGCTAACCAGAAGGTTGGAGGTTCAAACTCACTGGCCACTCCACAGAAGGAAGATGGGGCAATCTACTTCTATAAAGATTTAGTACCTCAGAAACCCAATGGGGGCCTGGTGGAACCACTGAGACTATGGCCCCTAGCTGCCCTTCAGGTCTGGAATTGAACCCACACCTGTGGTTTCCAGCCAAACAAAGTACAGGCATGTGAGTTAAACATTTACCTCAAGTAGACACATGCCCTGAAGAGAACAATCATGGGAGAA